AAACCATGCTACTCATGAGATATCAAGATAGAATACATAAGCATAATCACCAGCATGTAGACATTTTCACAAAAATATAAGTTGAAGATCATTTCTATACACTTCGATATGTTAAACCATAAATTCAATTATATTATTTATAATAATTATTTGGTAATAATAATTAAAAATATAATCTCCTAAGAGTTGCCAAGAGTTGAGAAAAAAATTATTTTTATTATTAAAGAAATTATGTATAATTACTAAAACTAAAATTATGCATAATTTTTTATTAAAAAAAAAGTTTAATAAAATTTTAAAAAATTATAATCTCTAAAAAAATTACATTTATTAAATATTTTAATTAAAAAAAGACTAAATTACGCTCATACTTAACACCATCAACTTTACCATTAGATGGCAGGACTAAAAAAATCTCATTTGAAGGAGTTGAAGGACCACTTTGATCCTTTTCTCTATACATATATAAAAAGATAGAGAGGGAGGAAGGATATGAATTTAATTCAAGCATAGTTTAGCTAAGAATCTAGAAAATGAATGAGCTGTAAATGACAGATTCTTGATGTTGGAAGTTATACCCAATCTTTTAATAAGTGAAGCATGAAACAAAGCGTTTGAAGCATAAGCTTCAGAGCACATAGCATATGCTTCTTCATCAGGATGATATAAATTAAAAAAAAATATTAAAATAATATTTTTTCATAGTTAACAAATTTATTTTTTTTTTATCATTTTCAATTTGTCATTTAATGTAACACATTAAAACATAATCACATCAACGGAAGATATATAATTAATATTTATTTACCAAGAACAAGGGGGGATCAATTTAATTAAACAATAGCTTGGGCAAGGATCTAGAAAAGGGATGAGTTATAAGGGATAGAATCTCAATGTTAGAAGTTCTAACCAGTCATTTAAAAAGTGAAGCATGAAACAATTTGTTTAAAGTATAAGCTTCAGAGCACATAGCATAGGCTTCATCATTATGATGATATTTTTTTCATACTCAACAAATTATATTTTTTTATCATTTACAATTAGTCTCGTAAGGAATCTAAGAAAGCAATATGCGATGCAAAGACCTTAGCTTTTAGTGATTTATATAATAGATTAGATACTAAATAGGGAGAAAGATATATGTATAAGTTAGCCAAACATAGAGATAGGAGTAGTAAGGATTTAGTTCAAGTGAAGTGTATTAAGGATGAAGATAAAAATTTTTTCTTAGAAGATGATATTCAACAATGGTCGATGAGATATTTTGTTAAACTTTTTAATGAAGATTGTAAAAATAAGATTGACTGTAGTGATCATAACACCCTAAATGAAAATAAAAATTTATATTTTTATTGGCGTATTAGTAAAATCGAAGTTAGAGAGGCTTTAAAGAAAATGAAGGGTGGAAAAGCTGTTGGATCGGATGATATTCCAATAGAGGTGTGGAAATGCTTAGGAGATGAAGGAATTTCTTGGCTTACTAAACTTTTTAATACTATTTTGAAGACTAAAAAGATGCCAGATGAGTTGAGAATGA